TATACTTAATTATTAATATTTGAATAATTAATCCAATGTCGCAGTATGGACGAGTCGCAACTCCTAGCTATAGCAGCTATAATGCTATTAGTACTATCTAGCACTCTCTGTCTAAGAGAAGAAACCCTCTTTCTATGCACAGCAGCAATCCCGTCCGTACGTACTAACAAAAACATTTCATATGCACTACAGTACTTGGCAATTTAAACATAGCTCTAAATACATCATTACATTGAACGTGGATGGCATTGTACGCTTGTTTGGTACAGTTAACTCATAGACTACAAGTATATAGTGTCTGAGAGTACGCCTTAAACATAATAAATAATACTTCAGTAGAAAATATTTCGTGAATATTTTCGCTGCCTAGACCTGTCCGAAAATACAGCGATTGCTGACAGCGACTGGACACAGGCGGGTACGGTCGAAGTCTCATTTAATATTGACGAACCATGAAAGCTTCTACGTCCACATGTCGAGGCTAACCTGCACTAACCGAACATTCAATGTACTTAATGGACACGCCCCACTTCAATTATGTCTATCCAACGGTATATAAGTAAAATGACCATTCTCAACGGAGGGTAAATACGATGGAACATTGAGACACAAAATGAACGGGTCATTTATATATTAAGACCATACCATTGTTAATGCTCCACCAATTTGCATCTTTTCTTCAAAGTACGCTTGTTGTTATCGCTCATCTGGAAGTCTGCTTATTCTTCATCTCCCTTCGTATGTAAAGAAACAAAATCCTGTTTCAACAGAAAACACCCTGAGCCAGTCATTTTCTGTCCATCGGACATCTCATCTCGAGCAAACCGTAATCTGGCACCCCGATGTTCCCTGAGAAGTTCGAAACAATTTATTTGCTGGCCTATAAGGCTACATATCAACTTCACGAATTCGTCACAGTTTCGTGTCAGAATTCACAGTTTCGTCTCGAGTTTCTTTTACGAAATCTGTTTCGGACGTTTCTTACATCTTCGTTTGTCGGAGATCTCGAGTAGTTTGCCAGTCAATTTCTTAGTCTTCTGATGTTCATACAGATCACTTGTAATCGCTGAAGTATTCCTTGGAACGTAAACAACAACACTCTCACTGCTCTAGAAATATTGCGATGACTTCTTCTCCATTGTACCATATTAATGATATACCTATTTACCTATATTCGTTATGTTATAATGACATGATGCTGTACAGAGTACTGTGACATAACAAAATTCAAAAAAATTGTTTAAAATTCTGATATTTATTACTTTTTGTTAACTGTATAACTTGTACAAGTCAAACGAATTTTGAGGTTTATTATATGCATTACTGATCTAGTTATAACATATGCGTACCGTTCACACGAGCGATCTGTCTCTACAACGTTGGGAGATGTGGCGGTTTTTCTACATGACCCGTTAAGCTTCACATTTCATTAAGTTACTTTTAATTAAGGATTGACATTAATCACGTTACATGAAATTTATCAGTGTATATATTAACTTATTTAGTAGCAGTAAAGTTCGCTGTGAAAGAGTTCATCCAGGGAAGTACAGCCACCTTACCTATTTCTGCCGCCAAGCAGTACTGAGAGCATTACTGCGTTCCAGTTTTGAAGGGTAAGGGTGCTGGTGAAATAATTTAATTTGTCTGTGCGTATGGGACTTGTCAACTTATGTCTCAGGGTGATGGGCGCAGACGCAGTGCACCTCAGATTTTTGCAATTTAAAGCTCGTAAGTGGCACTGCAACTGTTATGGACAGGCGTGTCGTTTACCACACCTGTACCTAAGTGCACGACTTGTTCGTCCCTTCACTTAGTATCATAAAAAAAGCTTTTTTCTTAATTGAATAGAAATAAACGTTTTAATATTTCTGAAAGTGATCTCAATGAGAGGGAAAAGCAGCATTATTATTTCGTAAACAACTTTACTCCACTACGCACGACTAAATAAATACTGTATTTATCACACCTTTACTTATCTACTGTTAGCGCTTTAAGTAATAATAATAATGATCTAATATTTATTCTGCCTTTTTAATTAACACTTTTTGCGCAACTACTTCGAACAAACGGCAGTTGCCCTTATTTACATAATTTCGTAATATTTTATACTTAGAAAGCGTGGAATTGTAAAGCAAACAGCTTATTTATACTTTTCATGTTAAAGTAAACGACAAATAAAAAAGAATAATGTTGAATAATTAATTATGTCTGAATTTGTCTTTAGTTTGCATTTAAATGGAATAGTTAGTTTTCATGGAATTTTGAACAAAATAGATACAAATTTCTAAAAAAAGTAGGCTAGAGAGTTGCAAATTGTGCACTTACTCCATCCCCTTCCGTGGCATCTGATAAAGGCTAAGGCATTAATCCGGCATGTGCGGCCCTCTCTTTGCTTAACACTCTTCATTTGACAGATTGGACTAAATTACTAAAGCTTTTTTATTTATTTAAGGGTAATGGAAATCATAGGAGTTCGTTTTGAGGGAAGTGTTTGCACTGTCCTCGGAGATAGCTTTTCGTCCAAGTAGTTTTTATTGGAAGTCTTGTTGATTCAAGCAGTCAAGCGCGCTTCAGAACTCCCCCTCTGTACACATTGACATAATATAGCTCATATTTGGTTTGATCGTCCCTCCTGTTGTGGCTTCAATTTATTGTTGTTCTTACATTCTTTACATTTTGATTGAGATTTCAACAACGCTTGATTAGTCTGTAATTGTAGTTAATGAAGCCTATAAGTGTAATACAGAAGTGTGAATGTATTTAAAGTACTTAACGAGCCTGCATGTTTTGCCGTACCCTGGCAACATAAATTATCTATTTAGTAAATAAACAACAATCTACCACACACGCCTTTCAACCAGTCCTTGTCACAGACCAATGCCATATGCGACACCTAGCCGTTCCAACAACCAGGAACATATCGTTAATTGCTTTGTAATGTACTACGTGTGCCATAGCCAATCCCTTCTAAATGACATGTCACTCAAAGACAATCAGGGTTTTTAATATCACATTGTTCGTGCTATCAGACCAGCGATTGACATCGAAATCATAATTTCATACCTAAATATCGGTGTTGCGGTCCATAATGACACGAAGAGCGTACAGTACGTGTTATCGTTGGCTTTTACTAATTACTCGCGTACACGCGAGGTGGACTGATAGCGTTGTTTAAACAAACATGGCGGACGAATAGCGGCTGGTTCTTTGTAATTGTAGCTCACCTTTATCGGGGCGAATGGCTCGCATCGGTGAGCAGTGGATTACGATTTCAACAAGTCTGCAAAAGGAGGGCGGAACATTCATATACTGCAAGAGTTGTAACTTTGAATTTCCATAAGAATATTTTATGTTTTAATCGACTTCATTTTAGTTAATTAATAACGTCGGTAACTTTTTCACATCATTAACTTTGTTGGAACTAAACACGCAGAGACATTTATATATATTCTATATTATAGGTACATATTGTGTCCGTCAAAAGGGCTCATCCCTTTCAAGAGTTTTCGCTCTGTTTAAAAAAGACAAGTTGATGCACTCAAACGAAGTACTGGAGGTGGAAGCAGGGTCGTTGTGTGCACAGTAACTTATGCTATTATTTCTAAGCCAACCTTGCCCCAATGTTTGATCAAATCTGTTGACGTCCTTCGGTCCACTTCTCTGGTCTCTAATCTTTCGCCGCCAAAACAAAACTATGTTGGTGTGTACTAAATTATGTTTGTAATATGAAGTAGGTTGTTGAGCCCGTCTCTTCAAGTGTACACTTTCTTTCGGCAAAAGGATTATTATTTGTTGAATTTATATAAATATTTGACTTTGTTAAACTAACGCCAAATATGTGAAGTTAATGTCTGTATTATGTAGATACGTAATTACGTATATATGCGATTAATCATATTATGTATGTAGAATTGACAAATGCTCCTTAGATAAGGTAGAGACCTAATGTTACGTTGTAGTACTCGTACTCTACAGTTTTTTTATTGAAATACCAACACATTTTATATTTTTATATAAACGCGTTTACTCGCTAACGTATAGGTACATAAAGTACATTTACTACAATTGAGCCACGTACAGTCTAAAGTATTTTAGTCTAAACATATTGAAACTTATCGATATAAAAATTAGATCTTCATATGAACGATGTAATAAGGTTCAATTTTCCACTTGTAAAACAAGGGGCCATCGTGCTCGTAGGCCGCCTTACATACATAGAAACATTATTATCTACCAATATCATATCCGCTATGGCAAAAATGATAACCATCATTTTAGTAACGTTAGCCAAAGCAATAGTAAAGCTTCTTTGATCTACCGAGCGCAGGCTTAATTCTTTACAGCGTTAACTAATTATTACCCGGAAGTAACCCGAGAGTACTTCACCCGAATGGGACGTTGAGCGCGTCGCTAAGATGCTTAGATTGAATGAATGCCCTTGATATTATCTTACCGCGCTGCCCTAGAAATTGAATTAATTTGCATCTATTAAAATAAACTTAAAAACAATTATTGTTTTTACTTAAAATGAGGAAACCATGCAGTTTACATAAATTATAAATATTTACTAGGGTGATAGGTACATCACCTGCTTGAGATCTGATAAATTGAGTTGATACTCTTTAAGCGGTCGCTTTACAATAATAGTTTACTTATTTTATTTAAAAAAAACCATTGACGACGTGGAATAACATCTATTTCACAAGTTTTATTGACATCGGTTACCGGAAAGTACACGATACCGGAATCATCTCCAAGTATGCCACCCCTAGAGGTGGAATGTTTTCTTCAAATTTAAATGGGATCAATATTGAGGTAAAAGAATCATCAAAATCTGTTCACACATTCCCTAATGTAATAATCGCGTAACATACAGAAAAATACAGTCAAATTGAGAACCTCCTCCTTTTTTAAGTCGGTGAAAAATAGTACTTAAAGCTGTCGTCTATATAGATGTGGTTAATTGTTAAGTTGTATAATGCGATATTATTGTTGTGCAGTTGCTCGTGGGCAGCAGCGGGGCGGGCACCGGCGGCGCAGCGACGTCGCCGGACGGCGGGTCCAGCTCAGCGCCTCCGCTGTCGCCGGGCGGGTCAGCCGTGGCCGGGGGCGCGCTCTCGCCTGGCGCCGGCAGCCACGCCAGCACTCCTGCTGCGTCATGCTGCGACACTCCCCGACCGATCATCACAGACCCGGTCTCTGGGCAAACGGTCTGCTCGTGCCAGTACGACGGAGCGAGACTCGCCCTCTCGTCGTACCCTCGCCTGTCCAGCGCGGCTGTCGGCGTCTACGGAGCACCTTACCCTTCAACAGATCAAAACCCCTACCCCAGCATTGGCGTCGATAGTTCAGCGTTCTATTCGCCATTGGTATGTACAATTTTAATAAATGATTTAAAATTTGTTAGGAGAGGTTCAGGTTTAATTTTGACAGATGGCGTGATTATTGACATAATTTTGCTTTGAATGTTAACTGATTTACAAAGACTAACAATTTCTGCCTTTGTTGAGAAAATAAACATTTTTATCGCCACGACAACGTGTACCAGCGACATAGGTAGTAAGTTTTTGATACAGTTTATTTCGATAATTCCCGCAATGGACCGGATGTCGTCTATCAATGTGTTTTATTCGATATAATTTGCAATTCTCGGATAAAGCAGAATGAACAGCGTGCTGCAAATTGGTATCAATAGGTCGTTTGCCGTTCGAAAGAGGCAAGGTTTATCGCTCTCAACTGCGATACAACGTGTTTAGCTTTTCTCGCGTAGCGTGCGAGCCAGCGACGAACCGGTCCGGGCGCGCTGGGCCAGAAAACCACCGACACCTTGCGAAGCCCGCGCCTCCACCCTGTCACGAAACATTAATATTAAAACTTAAAAATAAGTTCAAATAATGACAGTTACAACGCTGCTATAACTTTTTTACAAAGCTATCTCTTTAAATAATACAATAGTTATTTTTTATTAAAAAAATCTGAATGTGTTCACACTTCTATTATGTATATTTGCACATTACGGTATACATGTCACTGAATTCAATTTTTGGTTGCATACAAACGTAACTAGAGTTCGGTTTAATGCCTTCTCTGGGTATACGGGACAACTTGTCGACTACTATGTATATACGCCGATCGTAATCCCTAAAAGGGGCTACCACCATCTCTTTGCTGAGGAATCTTAATCATACGTAGTATTATACATCCTTGTTGGTAATCGTTGAATGGAATAGGTAAGACAACACTATGTATGTAACCATTTTATCGTACCACAAAACAAATTATAAATGTTAACAAATATTTAAATGTTAGTATACAAGCCGAGTTTGTCCCATAAAAGGATTTCTTTCGACTAACCTTTGAATAACTGAGAGAAAAAAAAACATTGCTATGTAATAAATATACGTAAATTAATTATAATCAATGTTAATTCGAATACGTGTATTACATTAAATAAACGTTTTTTTTTTTTTAATTCGCCGAATTTATAAGCAAAACATAAGTATCGTTTTCAGGTTCAATGTATTTGATTTGAAAGTAGAAAAAAATCATAATGTTATATCCGTGAACTCCCGAAAATCCTGTCAAAAGTAAGACGATCTCATAATGTCGATGTGTGGAGCAGGAAATTCACCCTAATCCTAAAGTGTTGAATTGAACCGTTCACATTCAATCGGTCGTACGAATTGGTTCCGCTACGATATGCTTTTCGTTCTTTGAGACGCGTGTTCATGTTTCAATTAAGTATCAGTTTAATTTTTGTCCTGGAATATCTGTATCACAATATGGAACATTCGGGAAACGTGTAAACTTATCCAGGTATACGAAAATGTCAATTTAGCACATAATTAACATTCAATAAGTGTGGTACTTGTCGATGCATCCTAAATCAGCGGCTGTCAGTTCTCTGTCTGTCATTGTATTTAACGAGGATTGCAGTACGTACGCTCTGTGACCCTGTACACGTTTAATAACAGGTGTTTAGATGTATGCGCAATGTCATTGTGTGCCTGCGCTCATACCTAACTCACGACAAGCCTGGCCGGTTTCGTGCATGCGACAATTTAGCGAACAATGACGGCGCTCCGCCACAAATACAGTCGTGCCTGTTTCTGGATATGTAAGTCTTCACTGACCTATGTTTGAAACTCGTTCTTATTACCTACAACTTAGGGCTCGATATATGGGGTTGCATGATTCTCAACGATTGCGAGAAAAAATATTCAACTGCCATTTTAGTACACGAGCAACTCCGGTGGCGCCGTCTGTTCGAGCTGCGACTTACTAACAATACGCCAGCGCCATCTTTTATCTATTGTACACCGGTGATAATCAATAAATAAAAGGGTTCGCCATGCACGACACGCCGCAATCCAACTGGGTTTGTTGCAAAACTTACGAGTCGTTTTTAAAATTATTTTATTATAAACCAGTCAGTTATTAGGTACATAATACTATCATTACGTAAGTCCTCATGGACACCTCGTTAATTTCTATCCGAAAATAGGATCTCGTGTACGAAATTGTTCGTGTTATTGTGAACGTTTAAGAAACCCATATACAATTTTCGTAATTAACAAATGTTTCTGCTTCAAATAAAAAGGACTGAATCTCAATCCAAAGCATGAATTCCAACATTTTATAGTACATCCAAAATCCCTATACAGCTTTTCTTACTTAAATACACTTGTAGCGGATATTTTAAAGCAGTTAACAATTTAATCTTAATTTAATAAACTGCTGGCAAATTGCGTGGCGGGGTAATAAAATCTTTCGTCGTTGAAACGGGAGCATGTGCATCGTCCTGCGACTGCGATGCATTTCTCGCTCGTTTATTGCGAACGGAAATCTTATGAACCCTTCCCCCACGCACACAGTGCGCTCAGGCTACTGATAGACTTATGACTGCGACATCCCAGAATAATGACGAACACTTCTTTTATAGTACCTACACGAACATTTGTTATTCTAAATATAACTATTTATTGTTACAAAAAAGAAACATCTCCAGATGTAGGTACCCAAAAAAGTCTCCTCCATTTCGTTATCATGCCTAAATTAAAAGTTTGATAAGACACGAGAATGAAAATCTCGAAAAAAGGCTCCAGTCGACTATAAAACGTAACAAAATGCCAATTTAAATACATCACTAATCTTAAGTCAAAGAGAATAAGTTTAGAAAAGAGACCAGAAATTCAATTAAAGGGAGCTAGAGAGAGAGCTCCGGTGCGCAGGAGCCATTCGCGAGACTGAGAGGGAAAAAATAAATAAAAGTAGAGAGAAATCAGGCGAATTGAGAATAGCCATTAAGGTGTTAATGAGGGTCTTATTAAGCCGTCTTCTCCCTGTGGGTGGTCTGCCTGTAGTGTTCGCTTTGTTCATTAATCACTACAGATTATGTTCCAACCTAATTATCAAATTTATTATCAACACTGTAACAATGGATACTGGATTTATAAGTTATCTCTTTGTGCTAACTTATTGTGATTTATTTTAATATAATTGAATACGAGATCTTAAAATTACAGAGTAGTCTTTCGTTTGTCACAATTAAAATTTGTCAAGATGTTGTTTGATGTTAGTTTTGAATCGCATCAAAGAGGAAATGACAAATAAATGTTTCAGCAAATTCAAAAGTCTTCGACGTGTCCGGTGCTCTTCGTACCGGACGTGTCGCGTTGTTCCTACATTTCTGTCATTATTCTTATTAATGCGCTATATAATTTGCAATAACCTTAGGTGGTCGACACGTCTCGAAAACATTGAACGATAAATAATTGTTTTGTTGACGAACATAAATATCTTCGGGAACATCTATTACCATCACTCTTTCGCCGATTAATTAGTCACTAGCGACCTTGCTCCCTGAGTAATGGCCGCAGCTCCTTTTATTTTGTGTCTATTAAGATGGAACTGGAAAATATGAGGAGGAATTTATGGCTTGTGGAAAATCGTAAGCTTAAAACGTACTGTTCATAGAGATTCAATTTCAGTTTCACAACAATATCGAAGTTCTATTTGTTTTATTTATATTTATTTGGCGGGCATCGATACGGGCACACTTAACTAAATTGAAGTTCATTTCGTCCGTCTCTGTCGTTGTTAGAAAGAAACTGTCAAGGAACCCAGCTTTAGTTGCTTTTAAATTTAATCGTTGTATAAATATATGCAGTCTGAAATAAATCCAATGTGTAGCGGCAATCTCACTCTGATTCCAGTTGAAGTTTAACAGTGGTAACACTTTGACGAATGAACCTTTGTGGTATATTGTCGCCTTACTTTCTCAAACTCGTATCTTAAAGCACAAAGTTACTGAAATGCAAAAAAATGGATTGTGTATACAAATTTTGCAGGCTGATTTCACATCACGTTTCCTTCATATTCACACACTGGCTTGTACCTATTCTTAAAGTAATGCATCCAAATTAACACCCGTGATAAGAAATTTAAAATAAATAGAAAGTTTTTCCATCTCCTTCCTGAATAATCACTCTTTATGAGATACGAGTTTGAGAAAGTAAGGCATCGATATGATGTTTATTTTATTTATATTTCGTCGCCAGTCATATTCTGTTCTACTTTACTATATAGGAAATGAAACAATATTTCTGATCTAAATGGTTTATATTTTTTGTTTTTTAAACAAACCTACGTTTCGAGCCCTTTGCAATTTGCATGGTCGCGGCTGACTAAAATGGACATAAGGAGGACATGACTTGTTTAAACAATAAATATACGCGATTTTGATCCAAAAAATAGTTCCATTTGCTACGTGTAATAAATTGTGAAAACAGGAAATATACTTTACCAAACCATCTGATTTTAGTACCTTGAAGTTATTTGAAATCGACCCATGCTGTTCCAATTGGGATCCTTATTTTGGCTACTCGGATGATCGTCATCACTTTCCAAAATTCTGAACAATGTGCTTATAAAAACACACCTTGTGACTACGATAAGCAGCATGTGTCATTTTGTAATAACAGCTTGTCTGTATAAGTGCTACGGTAAGTACATAATATCAGACGCCATTGCTTTTATATGACGCAATAGAGCAGATGAAACGTGGGTGGGCTTATCACAGCGCACATCGACGATTTGACATAAATGCGTTATAGTTAGATTATGTGACAACTGATAAAATGTTGTAAGGCACCGCCTCGTCATGATTGACACCGAGCATGTTTACACTGAGATAGTTGGCCCACCACACTTCTGTATCAGCCTTATCTACCGGTCACATAAGCGTTTTACCGATACCGTATAAGCGCAAGATGGTTGACTTTACACCCAAAAATAAATGGATATTTACCTAAACTGTCGTGATAATATACTTAATATTATTGAATTTTTGTTAATACAGCTCGTTGAA